GAAGCATGGCCTAGTCGACAGTGCCACAAGGAGACCGATGGTTTCACAACACCGAGGGCTTGTTTATTCGTGGAAGCTTGCTTATTCGGAGAGGGCTTCAAAGGATAGAGGCCGCCTTCACATCGACCTGTGAGGAGCGTTCTCCTCATCACCTGTTCCTTGATAGAAAAATGATTCGGATGAAATTCAAGAAAAGCATTGTTATCTCTAGCAAGATGATTAACAGATAGCAGGTTTTTGTGGGCTTTTGGAACATGGAGAATATTGTTTAGATGAATTTTTCTAGTAGGGGAACATAAAGTGCTATGACCGACATGATGAATCTCCATACCAGATCCGTTTGCCGCATGGACATGCTCGTCGTCGTTGTACTTATCGCGCATGGTCAGCTTCTCCAATTCACTGGTAATGTGATCGGTGGCACTCGAATCCATGTATCAGTTTGTGTCAACTCCATATGAGGTGGTCGTGGATGATGTAGACTTCTGCGATGGTCCTGTGAAAGAAACATCAAACCTTTTGAAGCAGCGAATCACGGTGTGGCCTTCTTTGCCACACAGCTGTCAAGTAACACCAGACTGTGCGCCACCCTGGGGACGTGCACCACCATGACCTCCTTTGGATCCACGGCCAAAACCGCGCGGCCACCGCGACAGCTGTCGCGAGTGTTGTTGGAGCTTCCACCACCACGGCCGCCCTTGGCGACCAAATTTGCCAAGGATTGGTGGCCACCGCCACCATGAATCTCCATGCGCTGCTCGAAGCTGATCAGCTGGGTGTAGAGCTCCCCCACCGTAATGGGTTCGACTCTGGCAGCGATGGCAGAAACCACCGGGTTGAACTCAAGATCCAAACCGGTGAGAATGTAGGAAACAAGTTCCTCATCCTCAAGCTTGCGGCCAGCGGAAGCCATGTCATCCACTAACCCCTTCATCTTCACAAAATACTCGCTGATGGTGGAGTTGCCCTTGGAAGCGGTAGCAAGTGCCATCCTCGTGCTAATGACACGAGCATGGGACTGGGACGCGAACAACCCTTCAATCGCCGCCCAAGCCCCGAAAGCAGTGACCTCATTGGAGACCTAAGATAGGATCTCCTTCGAGAGGTTGGACAGCAAGAAATTGAGGACCGTCTGGTCCTTTGCGACCCACGTCGCGTAGTCGGGGTTGGGCACGGGTGGCTCCTTCTTGTCATCTTCTTTCGGCGTGAGGACCTCCGCCGGCGGCTTCACCGCCGGATCAAGGTACTTGGCGAGCTGGGCACCCTTCAAGGCGGACAACACTTGGGCCTTCCACAACTGGTAATTGGTGCGGTTCAGTTTTTCACTCACGGGAAGAAATGTGGCAATGGACTAAACAGCAGATGCTACGGAGGAGGAAGAAGCAAACGCCATGGGAGAAATCCGCTAGGAAGAAGGCTCTGAATACCATGTGGAAATGGCTGGAACGAGTTGCCTCCCTTGGAGGGCTCGGTTGCCTGTTATATGGTTGGGAACAGCCCCCAACGTGGCTTGTACAACAATCTCAAATTACAGGATAGATTACAAGATTACATCTTGACTTACAAGCCATGGCTACAACTAACCATACGGCATATCCTAACTACACACCGTAGGGAGCTAAGGAGATAAGCACGCAGCATCCTTTAACAAGACGGTCTTGAATTTGTCGATAACATAAGTCCCTCTAATGTAAGTTAGAGTAGACACTTTTGAATGGCAAAGTGTAGATAGATTGGACTTTCTTTTGGGTCAAGTTACGCGAATTTCAGTCAGTTTGTTTGGTGGATAGCAATCCTATTTGTGGTAGGAGTATCAATGAGTATTAATTGTAATTAACGGGTGTAAGTGTGAATATTTTTTTTGTCAAACGATATAAATATAGATATAAGACTTTATCCATGAATATGTCGTTTCATCCATTAGTAGTTAAAATACAAAAAGTTTAATGTATTTTGGTGATATAATCTAACTCGGGGAAAGAGAACATGCCTCTACGGTTTCTAAGTTCTAACTTATTTCTGATAGTGGTGTGCCATCACCAATTTCAAACAAAGTTGGTTGCTAAATGTAGCCTAGCCCGATAGGCCTTGGAAAATGGGCCGTAGCCTAAAACATGTAGTCCAGCCCGCTAGGCCTTAGAAAATGGGCCATGCCTGCCTAGGGAGCATACTCGCAGACCTTAACTGCCTACTGACTCGAGTAGATGAGTTTTTTTTTTACAACAATCGCGTAGATGAGTTGATAGACCCGATTGGTGGTACATGGGATGAAGCACTTGTTTGTGACTTATTTTGGGAAGACGATGGCAAGATGATATTGCGTATTCCGTTTCATGATGGAATGGAGGACATTGTATCTCGGCACTACAACAAGAACAAACTCTTTTCTGTCCGTTCAGCTTATAAAGTGTGTGTTGAAGATCGAGGCGAAATGATAGGAGACAAGCAGGATCATCCTCAGCTGTGGCAAATGGTGATGATAGCTTGTTGTGGAAGCACCTCTGGAAGCTGAATTGTCCAAAAAAGATGCAGCACTTCCTATGGCGGCTTGGTCATAACAGCCTGGCACTCCGTGTTAATCTCAAGTGACGTGGAATGAAGCTGGACACCGCTTGTTGCCTTTGCAGGAGACTTGATGAGGATGGAGCACATCTATTTTTGAAGTGCAAGCATGTCACCAGAGTGTGGAACGAATTGCAAATGAGCCACGTCTGCAGCTCCATGGCTTTGCTCTCATCGGCCAAAGAAGTGATTAAGGAGATTTTGAAACTGAAGGGTGATATTCAGAGACAAGTCATAGTGCTGCTCTACTTATGGTGGTCTGAAAGATGTGCAGTTCGAGAAGGCGAGACGCCCAGAAGGTATCTGCATTTGGCACAGCTGGTACGCTCGTATGCTGATGAATACTCCTCCCTGAATCAGTTGAATCCGGTGACCATTGTGCCGTGGCAACGAGAGATATGGAAGCGTCCACCTACTGGTTACATTAAAGCCAATTGCGATGGAGCCTTCAGTCCTGAATCATGTTCAGGGGGATGGGGCTTTGTGTTGTGCGATCAAGAAGGAAGGGTGATAAGCTCTGGTTATGGCAAATTGGAGATGGTTCTTGAACCGCTTCAAGCGGAGATTATAGCTTGTCTCCAGGCGCTACAATGAGCAGCTGAGTTGGCGTGCAGAGACTGAACATGGCGACGGATGCAGTAGCAGTGGTGCAAGCAGCTACCTCCTCGTCCCTGGACCACAGCTCGGCATGTGGCTTGATTTGGGAGCTCAAAGATCTCTTAATTTCTAATTTTGTATCAAGAACGATTTCTCATGATCCTCGACATTGTAATTCTATAGCCCACGGTCTTGCTAGCTTAGGGGCTAGTCTGGGTTTGGCCCGATCTCGGTTAGGGATGATATGCCCTCTTGTATCCAGGTCTTGGTCGCCAAAGATGCGGTTTGATGAGTAATGGAGTTTACTTCCATGTTTCAAAAAAAAAAAAAAAGGATCGTTGCTTCATAAGTAGTCGCTCCAGGCTCCATGTCACTTATATAACTCTAACCAAGTTTTAAAAATGTATGTTAATATCGATAAATTTATATCTTCACTAGATTATTTAATAATAAATCTAATAAAACTAATTTAACAATTTAGATGCTTATGTGTTCTTTTTCTAAAAGTTTAGTCATACTTATAAAAGTTTGACTTAAGACAAAAGTTAAAATAATATAATTTAGAGCATGTTTGTTTCCCTTTGTCGTGCTGGACCAAATAAAGGGACTTTAAGATAGGTTAAGAGAGAATATAACAGAACATTACTAATCGATTTAATTCAGGTTTGTGTAGACACTACCACCCGCGTGATCCGGAGGGGATTGCTTGATTAATGGCAGCTAACGGCTATTTGAAAAATGAGTCTGAATCCAAAATACAATTTACAGTACCTGCCAAATTTTATTTAATGCAAATTTGTCTTTATGTCCCCTTCCCTAAATCATTTTCATTTAGCTACAATTTTAAATGCTTCTATACACTAAATTTTATGAAGAAGGGAGTATAAACCAGAGGGAAGCAAGCTATACCTTATTTGGTAACCTAATAACTTATTTAAAAATATTTGGAGGTGTGATTTCTTAGGAAAAGACAATATTGGATCTCATCGGCTGTACCTTTTCTGGTTGCAGCCTTACTGCGCGCATCACGCATGCCGCTGTGGAGGAGCAGTGAATATGTGCGCGCAGCTGCCGCAGATGCATGCCCAAATAAGCTCCTCCAAAGTAGTTTATGGATTTTTGTCATATATAAGCTGGGTACCTAGCTTATATAATTCGGATTGTTTGGCAACCCATTTACTGATTTACCTTCGGGCTTATAAACCAGCACATATTTTATAAATGAAGGGGGTAAAAAAAACACGGCTTTAATAAAACAGAGCGAGCCAGAGCTTTTAGACACTTTTGCAGATCGGGTCTATTCACGTTCAAATACAAAACTCCTAACTTTTCTCATCAGAATGGGTAACACTCACAAACGTCGCTAACTCCTCTTAATGCATCCACAGGGTGCATAGGGCAAATACGAAGGTAACTAAGATCGTTGCTCAGTCAAAATCATTCTGCTGCATGGATGTAAGAGAATATTCCAAATGAGCTCCATTGGAATCATAAACACCCCCTTCGGATTGGTCCCGGCCAAATTGCAATAGAGACGCCGGCTAAAAAAAATGTGCTGCGACGACATGTCCACAGCAGCGTCATCGATTCACCCGTCCGTTGGTCGTCCTTGCGACATGTCCAAGGCCATACGTCTCTGCACTTGTAGCTTCTTCGATCGATTCGTCACGTACTACATCATACGTGCATCTTATCAGCTACCGCATTCGCCGAGCTATAAGAAGGCGCGAAGCATACTCTTTGCGACACCAAGCCATCCAAGCAGTAAAGCATAGCTCGAGCTCAATTCTTCTACACAAAATCTATCTGCTGCTTGCACGGTTGAAGCGGCAGCACTCGCAATGGTGAACCATGGCGCTGCCACCCTCCTCCTGATCGCGTCCCTCCTCGTGGCAGTCGCCCTGTCCGGGGCTGACGCAGGGCTCACCGCCGTGCGCCACAACGAGGCAGCGGCCCTCCGTGGGGCCAAGGCCAACGCGAGGCTCACCGGGCGCATCACAAGGTTCACCGTGCGCCGCGACGCACAAGGAGGTATGCAGCTACATACTCCGACCCGTCGTCCAAGCAATCATCCGGCATGAAATGCATACGCCGCCCGTGCGTCGCCGTTGTTTGACCATATGATTGAGCGTGCGTGCCGAATGAATGAAATGTCACAGGTGACGTGTTGGTGGCGAAGGCTGCGCCGGTGCCGGAGCTGACATGCACCAATGTGCACGGAGTGCAGGCGGGCGAGACGTGCTTTTCCGTGGGGCAGGGCGCGGGGCTGACCCAAGAGCAGTTCCTCGGCTTCAACCCCAACATCAACTGCGAGAAGATATTTGTCGGCCAGTGGGTCTGCCTTCAAGCCACATCCGCTTAATTTGCGCTGCCCTGGTCCCTACGTCGCGACGATGAGTCGTGCTATGGTGGTTTCGTTCCCCTCCATGTATGAGCCAAGTTTTTTTTTTCTCGAATGATGTATGAGCGAAGTTGCTGATCAGATAGGGTCGGTATGTTATCTGTCGCACTTTTCAGTATTCTCGGTCGCACTTTTCAGTATTCCACAGTGATGCGTGTCACTCTGTCCCCGCAACACATTTTTCATAAAAAATTTGATTTCACCGGTTTGCTCTCATGTAGTCATGTGTTCGAAATGTACCATGCGTTCGTGTGTTCTTCATTTCGTCCATCGTATTGCTGATGAGAAGAGTTGGTATGCTTTGGACTCCACTAATTCAATCGCCACCGGCCTAAAACGCCTCCTTGCGGTCACACATTTTGATGATCGTACAAATTTGGATCCCTAATTAATAACCACAAGAAAATACGCCTTAGAGCATCCAAGAGTTTCCAAAACTAATTCTCAATCTAGATTTTTTTAGCAAGATTGAAAAAACTGCTCTCCAACAACTTCCAATCTTTCCGCACTTGGAAAAATCAATCCACCGATCGCGCGGAAATATATGCGATCGACATCAATATGGAGAAGGATTTGGGAAGAATAAAGAGTAATAGCATCTCCAAGAGCCTTTCTAAAATCTACTCTCTAAATCATCATTTGAAGAATCATCTGCGTAAAAATCGTTTTCTATATATTTGTGTCCTCCAACAGTTTTTTATATCTTTGTGTCATCCAACAGTGTTTCTATATCTTGTACGCGGTCTAGAGAGTCATCATCACTCTCCATATTTGGTTAGCGAAAAACCCGAAATAGAGAATATCTATATTTGGATATCCAATTGAAGATACTGTTAGAGTATATTTTTTCATCAAAATCTCTATTTCTGTAAATTAGGAAGATATAAAGAGTCTCTTGGAGATGCTCTAAGATATGGTTCTTGAATCTTGATACAAATATACAAGAGAGAAACCAAGTATAAGAGTGGTTGATGTGATTTAGAAATAGTTTGAGATTCCTGATGCAAAATATTTTAGTAACTAGGTTTTTGAAATTGTTGAAGGAGCTAACAAATATGCTTCCAATCTTTTTTTAGCCATTTCTAAAATTCATTGATTTACCAACTAACTTTTTGAGAACTATTGGAGACGCTCTGTGATGCTACAGGTAAATGCTAGTATATAATAAGGGAATATGCTTGGCCGAAATAAACCTCGACGTAGGCCGGTCTAACCCGTGTTGAAGGGATTTTTTATCCTTGGCTTGGATTGTTAATTGAGCTTCGGTGAGGAGCATGTCAATAAAAAAAACAAATAAAATAAAAAAAAAGATAAGAAGGGATCAAGGGGTGATTATGGTTTCTAAGGATCCGAAACCATTATCACTGTACCTTCCAAACAACAATTCAAAAACCACGCCCATTGCTGCTCCCTAATGACCTGTCGCTCCAACCGCGCTTCCTCCATCCAACGTCAACTTGCATCCTTAACACCCTACTGGAGTTGTCACTACTGCACGCCCATCACGCATGCCACTGTGGAGGAGCAGTGAATATGTGCATGTAGTTTATGGATTTGTCATAAACTGGGTACCTAGCTTATATAATTCGGGTTGTTTGGCAACCCATTGACCTTTGGGCTTATAAACCAATATTATAAATCAAGCGGTAAACAAACACGACTTTAAAAAAAGAGGGAGAAGTTGTCTTCATTCACCCCCGCGTCGTTCAGCCGAGCTACTCAGGCGGCTCTCCCTTCCCTCACCCAGCGCCTCCCCGCAAACCCTAGCGGCACCTCGGCCGCCGCCGGAGCTGCCGGCCGGAGGCCCGACGAGCAGCAAGGAGGGAGGCAGCGAGGCAACCTCGCTCTCCACCTTACCCAACCCTCTCCTTCCTCCCCCTCCTCTCTCTTTCTCCGAGTTTGTCGCTTTGGCATTTCTAGGGTCAGGCGGCTGGATTCGCTCGGGTGGCCAATCGTTGTGCTCGGCGGCTGAATCTTCGTGGCCGCATGGTGGGGGTCTTCCCGCCCCCTCCTCCTGCCACCTTCTCTCCCTTGCTCTGGCTGGCCATGCCTGGGCGGGCTCACCGCTAGCCGGCCTCGGTCGGATCCCGCAGGGGGGAGGGGAGACTGGTTGTGTGTGTGCAGCAGCCGGATCTAGGCGGGGGTTGGCTGGTCCGATGGGGGTTGGCCCGGGCTGTGGTGGCCGACAGCTAGATCCATGTGGGGGGCTGGGCGGCTAGGGCTTCTACCTTCCCTTCCCCGACCCTCCTCCTCCATGTCATCTTCCTTTCCCTCGACGCTGGCCTATTCGGCTTGCTGCTAGCTGGCTTCGGCTGGTTCCAGTGATGGGTATAGTCCTTCTTGCAACTCCCCGTGGTGGCTCGGGTGGGCGGACAACCCCCTTGGCTCTCCATATCTCATCTTCGTGATGGGTCAGGGGTGTCGTGTCATGTGGCTGCACTACTGCAAGGCTGCTCGCGGTACGCGTGGTGGCGTCAGTGTTGGCGAGGATGTCCTCGTTCATCACTGCCACCTTCCTTCGTGACTCTCCTTTGTGGTGGCCAATAATGATGGGTGGTGGTGGGTTGGTGTGAGAGATCACGATGAATGCCTTCTTGCATTCTCCTGCCGAGTTAGGATTTGCGGGTGAAAACATGTCCTTGCAGCCTTGGCATCGTTTCCTTCTTGAAGGCGTCGTGAGGCTTCGGAGCTCCGCACCGCTGCTCCGTTTCCTGTGTGGCCATGGTGGTGCTTCAGGTTGTTTTGTTGGTGGTGCTCGGCAGCAATGTTTTGGGTTGGTTACCTGAGTTAGTTGTTTTTGCTAGTTGTGGCGTCCTTTAGCTGTGGAGTTGCTAGTTGTGTTGTTTTTTGACCAGGTTGAGTTGCTAGTTGGGTCGTCTTCACCAAGTTGGCTCGGTGAAGTTCACCGAGCATGTAGTGGTGTGAAGTGTTAGTGGTCCGGTTGGAGTGTCAATTTGTATGGATGAGTGACATACTCTTCTCAGTTGTATAGTTTTTTAGACTTGTTTTTTTACTCAAAACTGAATCGACACTTGTTTTCTTTTTTATTATCAAATATATAAATAATGGCATAACTTTTACCGCCCTTTCTAAAAAAAAAAGTTGTCTTCCAGAGCTTTTAAACACTTTTGCAGATCGGGTCTATTCACATTCAAATACAAAAACTCCAACTTTTCTCACCAGAATGGTTAACACTCACAAACCTCGCTAACTCCTCGTAATGCATCCACAGGGTACATAGGGAAAATACGAAGGTAACAAAGATCGTTGCTCAATCAAAATCATTCTGCACAAGATTCCCCAAAAAAAATCATTCTGCATGGATAAGAGCACGGTAGGCACGCTTTCGCTGCGCCGGTTTTTGGGCAACGTGGCATGCCACACGGAATAACATATCCGTAGTGGTAGGTTGTTTTTGGGTAAATGAGCAGAACGTTAGCTTGTTGTATGGCGTGAGACAAGATTAAGAAACCATGTGACTAAAAGTTGTGACAGAATAAAACCATTCATGATTTATAACACAATTAGGAATAACTGAATGATATTTATACATATATAGCCCAAACATGGTCGTTGGACAAAAGAGCAAAATCAAAAAGTTTCAACACTCAACACCAATATATAAACGTCGCAAACTTTGTAGGCACTATACATTATATCATGTATTTATTGAGGTCAGGATTATAGGAATAGCCAAATATGGCACAGGCAAAATCTTCATTACAATGTGAACAATGGATTGGGGATACTGTAAAAAAGAACTATAAGACAAGGTGTATTATTCATCAACAAAATATTGTGTCATCCTTTTTTTGGCCCCCATCTCACATGGATATTGTCCCCTCAGATTGGTCTGCACAAATAGATCCATTATTTACAAAATAGAAAATAGTATCACTGTAAGAACGGTTTCATAATAGAGGCAATGGCAACTCCTGAGTCCTTGGACCATGCAAATCGAGTACCTTCTCTCTAAGTTAGGCTCCAAAACTATTCATTAATTAAAAAGATAAAAAAGGGGTACTATCTCATCTTGGTATATTAAATTACATGCAAAACTATTCCCCAAATTGATTTTTTATTTTTTTGCAGCTAGTCAATATTTATGCCTATATCATGATCATGCATAGACGAAGTTGGAAGCATAGTTAATAAAAGATCAAAGAAAATTTATTTTATATGGGAGTACTTTTTCTTCAAGGAAAATATATAAGATGATGTGACCAAAAGAAATGCTCGGTAGAGAGGGACTCGGTGTAATAACTAATTATAATTGTAACATGGTTCACTCTTCAAACTAAACACAAACCTCATTGGATTTGATGCCATTCATGTTGTATAGCAACATAATAGTAACAAGGTGTTATGAAAATAACTAAAAATGTAATTGTTGACAACATCATATAAACAGAGGGCGGGTAAATCTATCACAAGGGAAGACCTGATCATGGACTGATGGAAATAGCACCTGGGCTTGTCAGCAATGCTGTCAATTAATGGCATTTTAGAATTATCCTTTGTTGGGCTGTTATCAGTAAAAAAGGTCGGCACAAATCGAACTTAGATACTAGAATGGGAAAAATGATCTTAATGTGGCGAGGAAGCACTAACTCACCTATTGAACAGCATTATCATGCACTCATGTTTGGCCCTTGCTGAGAAAAGGAAGACGGAAATAGTGGGCAACTGCCAACTGAAGATAAATCCCCTATTTATATTAGCATACTGTCGGCACGAATCCAACAGAAGCACTTGAACAACCTATATACTGGAATGAGCAAAATGATACTAATGTGGAGTGGAAGCACTAATTCAGTGGAGAACTGAAGATAAATCCCGCATTCATATTAGCATACTACAAAAATTTTCATTTGTAGTTGTACTAAAAATCCATGGTGTATACAACATGCATCTCTTCGCATGGTTTTATAAGAGATAGCAGAGATTTAAGTAATGAGATA